ACTCCGTTGTCTTCATTTTTCTCTTTCCCTACTACTCACATCACTCCAGGGTCTGGTAATCCATGTAGGGCATCGTCCAGCATTGCACACTCTTGTCCTTGGAGGCTTAATTCTTGGATCACATGAACCGTTCTTCGAGTTGCAAGWCACAGGTCGAGTTTGAACCCCAATACCACACGTGACTGAACACTAATAAGGAGATAATATGATTATCAGAGAATAAACAAATGTTGGCAAAAAAATCATAGGTTTTTTCCTTTTCCTTTTTTTTTTTTTTTTTTTTTTTGCGAACCAGAAATTTCCAGACGAAGCTGGCATTCCCGCTTGCATATTTGCTTAGATACATTAGGTCAGTTTTGAAATGTCTGATTGACTGAAACCAAAAGCCCATACGTCTTAACCTTAGTAACAGGCCTTGGCGGGATGCCTGGGGTGGGGTTGGGGGCCTCTTCCTCTCCCCCGCTCCCCAAGAGAGCCTGATACTCAGGTTAATACGTCTAGCATCAAAGTAAGGAAGTCGAAGAAATGTTCTTCGAAATTCTTTATTATTTAGATAGTTTTAAAATTTAAAGTCATATCATTTAATTTCCTAACAAACATTTAACAAATGAAAAAGAGGACTTATTATACCAACCTTACTCCACTTGCTAAAAGCCCATTTAGGACACTCGTGAACGTTGCAGCTTTTTGTCGTTAAAGGCTTTTTTCTAGCATCACAGAGGATTGGTATTCGCTTGTTATTACATCGCACTATACGCCCGGTAACACCACCACCACAACTTGCAGAACACTTGATGTAATGAGAAAAGAAAAGAAAGTGGATAAATATTACCAACTAAAAAAAAATGAATTCAATTTCACCAACAGACGAAAAGATCCTATTTTACAAAAACAGAGCGTATTCTCGCAATTTGAATGGCTGACAGCTATGGTCAATAAGAGGACAGACACATAGAATGACGAATTGGATCCAGTGCGCGCTTGAAACAGTTTTTCTTTAAAAAATTTTTCTTGTTGTTAGATGCTTTCATTCTTATTTTTTATTGTGAAAAAAAATTCGCTCATGGATCGCTGCGCTCGTGTTTCCACTTGAGTTTTGAACATTTTAAGACGTCATCTATGATCAATAAGAGGACAGACAATGGAAATCTATGAGCGAAAATAGACCGTTTCTCCTAAGGTGTAATTCTTTCTCATTTCAGACAACGTGTCATTCTTTTTGTAATAAGATTATTTGTTTGAATGCATGTGTCTTCCCAACCAAATTTGGTTAAAAAAGAAATGATGCTATAGCTAGGACTTTACGCATAAGCCATGAATGTCTATAGATCCATTGCTTTACCTCAGTCCACGGTCCGGGGATCCATTTTGGGCATTCCTCCATATTACACTCTTCTGTGTCTATTGGTTTTGTTTGGGGGTTGCACAAACCTCTGATTGGATGACACGTAACTGGGCGCAGTCTCATACCGCCGCCGCATGTTTGAGAGCACTAAAAATAGAATTAGCTCCAATAAATTGTTTCAATTCTGTCTTGGATACAGACGTCTTTTCTATGCGTATTTGAAAATGCTCGTTGATAATTGCAATATAAATGCATTTCATTTTTATTATCTTTTTGTGACTATTACCTCACTCCATGTACTAGCTTTCCAGACAGGACATTTTCTCGTGTTGCAGACGCGTCGTTCGAGAGGCTTGTGGTCTGTATCACAAGGCAAACTCTTGGAACCACATGTGACGTTGCGTTTCTGTACTCCTTTGCCGCAGGTGACGGTACACTGATGACACAAAGAAAACCTAGTCCTTTTTAATGACGTCATTAATGGCGTTTTTATACTGGAGCGGATTGGTATAAGTGCAATAAGACTAGGATACGGAGAGAAAACCAGCTATTTGATCGGACAAACAGCATTCTTAGCTCGCGCACTGCGAATGCTTCAAAGGAAGCAAATATGACAATTCGTCTGCGCGGGGTTGTGCGAAGGGTGGATAAAGCTATCCGACGGGGGAAAAAATATTATAGAATCGACTTATCCACTGGATAAGGATTTATCCGCCGGATAGCGCTCACCACCCATCTTACAAACGGTCCCTAGTCTATAAAATTGCTCTAGATCTGCGTTACCTCACTCCAGATTCCAAGTCTCCATTTAGGGCATTGCACATATTCACATGACCTGATCTGGGATGGTTTGTTGGAACGGTCGCAATTACCATTTCCAGTGCTGCAGTCGACGGGTCTCGTCTGGAATCCTTTTCCACATGTAATGGAGCACTAAGAAGCAAAGTAGATGTGCAGTAACACTTTAATACCTACACAACTAATTAAAATAAAGTAATTTTTGATTAAAATTAAAATATCGCAATACTGTACGGAGAAACTAAACCAACCTTGCTCCAAGACCCCACATTCCACTGCGGACACTTTTGGTCGTTACAGATTTCTGTCTCAGGTGGTTTGGTTTTGTTATCACAATGGGTATTTTCTCCATTACATCTTACTATACGATGCCTTTTTCCAGAACCGCAACTGACGGAGCACTAATATACGACAAAAAGGGAAAATTAATGAAATAGAACAAAAACTAAAAAGCATTCACTTGTTAAAGATATAGAAAACGCGCACGCATGCCGTGTACAGTTATGTGAGCACGCGCTCCCAACCAATAAGACCGCGAGATTCATAACAGTTTTTCTTATAATTACCATTAGGGATCTTGTATAGGATTATCGAAAGTTAAGAATTGGGATGGCTGTTAGGAGAGGAAAGTCAAAAATATTTTCTTTCTGTTTTATCATTACTCTCCTTTGATTCCCATTTTTACTCTCATATCTATCTTTATCATATCTACATTTATTTGCAAAAGGATATTTTCGCTTTCTCCTCATTTACAATGTGGGACTCCGCTAAAAAGTGATGCAACACGTTACGCACATCAACAAAGACAAAAACAACGATGCCAATCAAGCGAAACAAAGGATTTTGCTCATTTGACCAACCTGACTCCATGACTGTGCGATCCATTCGGGGCAGGGCCCTAAGTTACAAACAATCGTAGTCTGAGGTTTGGTAAGTGGAGAGCAGAGGCTGCTTCTTTGATTGTTCCTTAACTTGCAGGTAACAGCCCGGCTCCTAACCCCCTTACCGCATGTCACAGAACACTGTTGAGGTAAAAATATAGTACATATATATTTTATTAATATATGTTATTACTTAAATATATCCTTATATACATATTCGAGTGTCTTTTTATGCACAGCCGTTAAACCAAGAAAAGGATACCCAAGCGAATTGCGTACATTACCTCCCAACCCCCAAGCTAAAGAGATATATTATCAATAGAGCAGGTGCATGTTACATCATTGCCGCCCTCTTGGTTGACGATAACAAAGTATTCTTTATTAGCTTCTCTTGTTAGATCAACCAACATGGCGGCTGTTTCATTGTTATTCATATCTCAAGGTATCTTGAGTCAAATGGTTGCACACACTCTATTAAGGATACCTAATCAAGAATATCAGAGGCAAATATATAAACACTCACTTGACTCCAATCTTTGGTTTCCCATCGTGGGCTAAAAGGAGTGGTGGGATAATTGCCCAGGGCATCGCTTGACGTAAAATAAATGACAGGTTTTGGGTGGCATGATCGGATTTTACAATTGCGATTATCAGGAGGCTTTTTTGAAGGGTCACATCTTTTATCATCTGCAATCTCCCAGTTATCAAAAGCGCATTTGACGATACGCAGCTGAATTCCTTGACCACAGGGTTGTGAACACTAGATTAGTAAAATAAGAAAATACTGATCATTATTTACAAAAAGCAAACGTGGGGAAAGGACAGAATAGGTTTTAGCTTTTTTTAGAATGTTTTTTCTCCAGTGTGGTTGCAAGTGCAAGTCTTTCATTTCCGCTAACATCTAACATAGCTTTTTTTTTAAATAATAATAATAATAATATAATATAATATAATATAAAATTGGGCGCGCGCGCTCTTTCCGTCTCGTTTTTAGTGATCAAGGAAAGAGCGCAAGCGCGCAAGTTGAAGACATACGGGAGTAGGGTAAGGCGAAATCTAAACTTCATCCGGTTGCTAAAAATAACCCGACCTAGAATTTACATGGCGCGTGCTTTATTAAGAAGTTTCCCTCTTATTTATGCTCTCTTGTTTTGACTGAAGTAGTAATCAGTTTCCTTACCAGGCCCCACTCCCCATGTTTCCAAGAGGTGCAGGATTTCACTATACAAGGCGTTTCCTCTTTCGGCTTTTCTTCTTCATTACAGTTGGTATCAGATAAAGCAAGGCCTTTGGAATCACGACAAAGGACTTGCCTTCTTTTGATACCTTTGTCACAAGTGGCAGAACACTGTAGAGTAAAAAATAATGATGTCATATGTGAATAATCTACAGTTTAAGGGGTCAGGGTCTATTCCCGAGAAAAACTAATTGGGTGAGGTTGTTCTTCTTCTTGGTTCTTCCTTTCCTTTCCTTTTCTTTCCTTTGCATTTTGTTTTTTCTCTTTCTTCTCTACACTTTTTCTACTGTCGTTATTTCATCATTGTCAAATCTAACTACAAACCTGTGTCCAATCTCCCTCACTCCAGGAACCTTGATGACGAGGTGTTTTTAACACGAGAGGGCATTCACCTTCCAAACAATTTTCCTGGTCATTTGGTTTAGTTGCTGGATTGCAGAGGTTTATCTTAACCACTGAGTTATCCATTGGATAATGGCACGACACCTGGCGAGTCTTCCTACCAGAACCACAAGTAACTGAACACTTGAAATAATATAAATAAACAGTTAGATCCATCGACGGACGGAAGAAGGGAAAGGAATGGAGGGAGGCAGAAAGTCGAGACTGCATTATTCCAAAATAAAATAAAATAAGCTACTCTTACCTCTGACCACCTTGTAGTAGTCCAGTAGGGACATTTTCCGGGTGAACACGACTTCCTGACGGAGGGTTTACCTTGCGATTTGCACGCAGATTCTGAAAACCCTTTCTCCATATTTCTACACTTGACTTGTCTAATCTGAACACCATTACCACAAGTAACAGAGCACTGAAAAAAAGAAAAATCAGACATTCTTTTGAAAAATATTTTTATAACGGTTGATACCACATTGGTGTTGGATGCTGTTGTCTGATTTTTCTTTCTTACAGTGCTTGTCGGTAAAATCGAAACGTCAGTTATTTATAACGCTAGCTTTTATAATTAAGGTGGCTGACTACTTTTCACCATTCGATTTGATTCCATGATGTGCGCGCGCTCAAAAACCGCTGAATAATCTTCACGATTTTATTGAAGAACCATACACGTTTTGAACTTCAAGAGGGCAAAACCCTCAAATTATGCTCGGGACTCTATATTTTTTTTGTTATTTTCCGGAATAACAGGAAATATCCCATTATTTTTCAAAGTGTAAGACAATTCCATTGTCTACAATAATTCATTAAAAGGACTTTCATCAGTATCTAATAAATATAGTGTAAGTTACGTGTTCGGAGAATATTATTCATGTTTCTTCCTTAGTTTCGGTTTTATGATTTTTTTGTACAGATCTTGATTTTCGCTATTTTTCTTCCAAAACTGTACAAACGCATGTCATTCCGGAGTGATTATCTCAAAAACGAGTTTCTTTAATCAATGATTCTTACTTCTGACCATCCTGTGGTAGTCCAGTTAGGACAGGCATCACGTGAACAAGGTCTTTTCATGGATGGTTTGACAACTGATAGACATGCTAATTCTGGGAAAGCTTTTTTGCCATTTGTGCAGCTGACCTGTCGAGTTTCTACACCTTTACCGCAAGTCACCGAACACTGCGAAAAAAAATAACATTTATATTATCCAAAGAAAAAGCTGTTTTACCAGTTTAATTTCTTGACAAATATCAGGAGGCCAATAGTCCCCTTCACAGTTCCCTGCGCCATCTTGAAAGGTAGCCGTGCCTTTGCATCGAAGCGAGACGAACGGTGAGCTTGCAATGATAGAGACATGCGAATAATTGTCCAAGGTGTTAAAAAAAGGTCTCTATCATTGCAAGCTCACCGTTCGTCTCGCATCGATGCAAAGGCACGGCTACCTTTCAAGATGGCGCAGGAACTGTGAAGGAGACTATTGCGTGTATAAGTTGCTGTTCTGTTTATTCAGATTAAAACTAGCTTTTCCCGTGATTCTTTAAGGCATTAGCACCGTGCTCCGTTCCCTAACAAAGCAAAGATATCGATCAATTCATCAAAGCGCGCGTGGTAGTGCAATTTAACATGCACTTTTTTCCGAGTTAGAATGGGCTCACAAAGTTTTACAACTTTTATTGCGTATCAATCACTAAGGAAAATTACAGAATCAACAACTCTAGGTCCCATGCTAGGCATTTCCTTTTGGCTAACGATATAAATCAATAGAGAATAGGCGACTTGCACTAAGAGGTCACGTGATCAAATAGGCCATTGTGGTTGGCATTCTACAGGATTTTAGCTATGCAAGAATGTAAAAAAAGATGGCGGATTCGGGTAGTTTTTTTGGTGATAAAAGGTAAGTTAGCGCACTATATGTAAATAACGTTAAAAATAGTTATTAGTAGTTTTGCTATAGCCAATTTTTTTTTTTTTTTTTCTTACTGCACTCCAGCGGCCAGCAATCCAAGCTGGACACTTTTGATCATTACAAGGCTGTTGAAGTGGCTTCTTTTCTGATTCTCTGCAGTTATTGTCTGGTAAGTTGCCATCACTAACACCAACACAGTTTGTTGTTCGTCTTTGGACTCCAGCACCGCAGGTTTTAGAACACTTTAAAACAAAACAAAATGTTTAGTTCGCCTTAATGACATACATATCTTAAATTGAAAAAGCTGCATGCAAACTCATTCCCACTCTCCTCGCGACAAAAACAGGGAAGGACACGACTCGACTAAGTAAGAAGGCAAAAGAGGGACTATTGACAGTCTATAGGAGAATAGGGACCCTAGAGGAGGAAAGAGAGCGAAAGATGCGAAAGGAAGAAAACTAGAGAACCTGAGAAAAATCTCGAATTACGTGACTGAGTCTAATATGATGGGAAAATTTCCCACGACCCACAGTGGTGAGAGGCTGCACATTCGCCAATGGTTCTCTACTCCCTCCGCACTTTCTTTCCCCTGGGCCATTGAGACTGAAATTTGCATCTCATTCAGGCCACAGTTTAGAATGTTGTCTAAAGCATGTTATATATACCTCGGACCAGTCGCTATAGACCCAATTAGAGTCTTCGCACACTCCTTTGCATGGTACTGAATCAGGTGGACGGCTAAGATGTTTACAGTATTCATCAGGAATGATATCCGTATGAGGACCACTGACTCGCATGCAACGCACTTTCTGACGCCTTGTACCAGATCCGCAACGCACTGAACATTTTTTATCCATCTTTATGTTCCACCTTACAGAAAAGATATGTAAACGATGATTGGGCTACATACATAAGGATCAACAAACAAACATTGCATGAATTCAAGCCAAAGGAACAAAGAAAAGAAAGAAGAAAGAAAGAAGTAAAAAAAGAAAGAAATAATAGAAAAAATAAAAAAATAGAAAGGAAGGAAGGAAGGGAAGGAAGGGAAGGAGGGGAAGGAGGGGAAGGAAGGGAAGGAAGGAAGGAAGGAAGGAAATAAATAAATAAATAACAGGGTTCTTATATACTCTCGTTTTACATGGTTTCAATTCGCACAATCATTACCAGTGGAGTACTTTACGGGCCGCGTATTTAGGCGCTAGTAGCAGCCGTGCAGCTTACAATCATGAGTGATTTGTTAGTAAGTTAGTATTAATGCCTCCAGATTGGGATAGGCTGTTGAATCAGAAGACAATCCCCTACTCTTATACGAATAATTCAACAGGTTCTTTTATGCCCCCCAGGGTTGGGAGACAGGGCCTACGGTNAGGAAGGAAGGAAGGAAGGAAGAAACTGCTTAAACATCCTTGGAATACCACAAGGAATAAAGCAGTAAATCATGTCAGGTCTATTAGGTATGTGGTAAAGTTAAAGCTTGCAGTAATAACTGTCAAGAGAGTAGAGCTTCAATGACTGTTTTACCTTAAAACGCAGTTGGTATTACAGTTTTCTTTGATGGCAGGTGGACGAGGAAAGGGCCTACACTTTCCTTTTCTGACCACTCGTTTATCTGAGTTGCGTATGCACAAGATTTGTCGTCTCCTTCTACCTAACAGACAACAGAAAAAATTATCCGAAACTGCATGCCAAAGTGGTTTTTAAAAGCTCTAGCGTGGATGAAACACGACATGGAATACGACATATGATGTGAAATCGGAATATGGCGGTTTGGTAAGCAATGAATTAATACGTAAAACAAACAACCCACACTTTCGTTTTGCCAGTTGCGCCATGACCGAACCCGTGGAGAGGCACTCTCGTGGTATAAAGGGAGTCACATAAAAGTCGCTCAGCACACAAGACGCTTTTCCTTAGAACCACATGGGTTAACGTAAAAGTTTTAGCAAGGCTTGTAAAAGTAGGGAAAACAAAGGAAGCCCAAGACCAAAGGGCCCAAGTGTTGATGTTTCACATTGATCAGTAGATAAAGAACAAACCTTTACAGAGGCGACTACATTGTGTCCATGGACCATTTGCATTCCACGCAAAGTTTTGGGGAACGTAAAGAGAATACTGGATGTCAGGGCGTTCTAGGCTTCCAACGGAAAGAACCTGTTGAATAAAACAAAAAGCATTAGCACTCGAAACTCTTTAACGGTAGAGATACTTACGCATGCGATCTTCATACAAATTAGTCAAGACTTCTTCAAACCATTACAAAGTGTTTTACAATATTTTCTTACGCTTGCTCTTTTAAGCGGATCATCGATATTCAGTGGTTTTGTTCAATGAAGAGAGAGAAAATGGACTTTGACATTTGATATATGACGAGAAGCGTTTACTCACCTCGACTTTGATATTTTCAGCTGTTTTTCCACTTATTCGTATCTCTTCTATTTTTTTCTCAGAGCCAGAATACCACACTCTAGCACCGTTGTAAACAAACTCCCTGACACCAAGACTCACAACATATCCACCATTTAAAAGATATGTGTTCGTCTTTTCGTTTTTAAGAGCTAGAGAAACCGAAATATGGATCAGCATTGGTTAATAATCATGGTAACTCTAGATCAAGTAAACACTAACGGGTTTGATATGTGCAGTTTATACGTAGGTCTACTTTGCTGTTGGAAAACTGTTGATTTTGTTTCAGTTTTCAGTTTTCTTTTTTTTTTTTTTTTTTTTTTTTTTTTTTTTTTTTTTTGGAAACGGCTGACTAAGTGGAGCTTTCCTGCCTAGATCGCCACTGGTCAACCTATGGCAAAAGCTCTAAGATCTTAGATTTGTGTTGCATAGTAAATTCGGGGGCTTGCTAAATAGGACGTTTGCACGGTGGCGTCATTGACTACAACTACTGGACTCCCTTGCGCACTTTCTTTTGTTCAGTTAATTAGCACCAGTTGTCTTACTATTCTCATGAGGGAATACAAATTGAAGATAGAAAATTCGCGAAGCATCTTGGTAGTGGAAGTCAAATGACGCCATCAAGCAAACGTCCTATTATAGTAAAAATTACGTCAAGCAAAAAAACTTTATTAGAACCCCGGTTTATTCGGGGGGGGGGGGGGAGCGAATTACAAGAAACATTGTGAAAAGAAAATGGATGCACTTTATTACCGAGGAAGTTGTCGTCTTCAGCTTTGCGTCCTCGCTGTGTAATCTTTACGTTGGTTGAATTAGCAGGTATATCGTAAACAAAATTATAGCCTGAAGTGAATTAAAAAAGTTACAACAACAGACAATATAATATACTCTTGCTCAGCGAGCTAGCAAAACTGTTTTCAGAATGAGCCTTATTTAACTGTTACACAGGTTTTTAAAACTGTTGAAACTGTTTAATAACTGTTGACCACCACCACCACCACCACCACCGCCACCACCACCGCTACCACCACCGCCACCACCACCACCGCCACCGCCACCGCCACCGC